CATTGTCTGATAGATCAGAAATAAGGCTTCCAGGAAGCAAGAGGCAGAGCAGACTTGAAAGTGAAGGAACAAAGCGGTAAAAACTCTATTGGTGGGAGACGGAGATCGAGTTGGCAATATAGGAAAAAAATTCAAAAATATCTTACGACCAAAGCAGACACAGACAAAATGGTTTACAAAGAAGTGCAGGCAAAAGTTCGGAAATACATTATTAAAAAGAAGAACAAAACATTGGGAGAAAAAATGTAATATCTAAATACTTACCTTGGAGGCTCAGGAAATTCGGAGAGTTGGAAACTTCTTAAAGCATTGAGACAAGATACAACAAAGGTATTATAACACCCATAAAAATGGATCACTGGGAAAAATACTTTTGGGAGGTATTAACGGAAAACAGAAAAGACTCTCCGAATAATGAGAACCGAACACAAAACATCACTACAATAGGTTCCCCGTTAGGACTAGAATATAAGGCTTGAAAAATACGAAAGCATCGGGACCAGGAAATATTGCATCGGAACTATTGAAATATGGTACAGACAAGTTGTATGCTTTATTAACTCAACTCTTCAAAAGTTGTATTAATGGCGAGGAAATATCTAAAGAATTTTAACCATACACACAAAAGATAATAGTACGAGTACGATCGCTAGAGTGCATAGAAAGATAAAGATAAAGAGGGAGAGTACAGAGACATGGAAATGGTATTTATAGACATTTAAGGGAAAAATTAAGTAATCTTGGCCCAAGGCTATGATGACATAGAGTACATGACACAACAGGTAATTGAAGAATATGATGAATGCGGGCTGAAAGTGAACATCAATAAAAGAGAATACATGTGTATAGGAGGCGCACAAGAAGACTTCATTCTTGGAATAGGACACAGACAAAAGAATATATGTATTTGGGTTTAAAAGTAGCAGAAGACGGAAACGTGGATAAAGCAATTCAGGAAAGATATATCTATCTAGTATGATTAGAGTATCTTAAAACAGAACAAACAAAACAATTACAGTTCCATTGCCAATGGCATTGTAACATAATACAAGACACAGGGTTTCTGTTGAAGTGTTAAAGTTGGTATACCAAGGGGTTATTTGTTTTATTTTCTGGGGACAAACATGTGACGCGCATCAATTTTTCTTGTTCGTCGTCCCATTCCCTTTTTTTAGAGTCGTGTTTTATAGTTTTTCGATTTGAGTTCCCTACCCTGTAAGTTCGTTGCTTTATGGAACAAAATAAAGACATTTTCTGCGCTATCTAATTCTGATTGTGCGGAAAAAGATTTTTACGACTTATCTTTAGCTTTGGCGTGGGCGGAGCACTGTTTGAGGTAAGAGAAGATTCTTGGTAATTTTTCTGATCTGTGTTTTTGCAATCAGAGTCACCTACCTGATGTCTCAACTATCGCACAGTGTAAATATCATCATTTATTAATAGTCTATTTCCGTATAGTATTTCAGCAGACAGCTTCTTAGATCCTGCTAGTTCAAGGTCTTCCTCGAGTATTTTCTTATCGAGTCTGTCCGATATACATAAATCTTGGGATATAAAAATGTTTGCTTCCTTCAATCTTGGCGCCACTTTTATAACCTGTTTTTTCATTCAACTTTTATCGGTGCACTTCCTCAATTTTCCTCAATGATTCGTTAAATACTACGGCATAGTAGACGTTGCAAGGTAACAAAAATCCAATATTCAATTGAGAAAAGGAACAGCAAATCCTAGAGTAACAAACTCGCGCATTCTGGTTGCAATTACCTGGGTTAGCCCATTCGAAGACAGTGATAGAACGCCTAACCGACACCCTCTTGAATCTGAAAATTCTCTTAGACACTGGAGCCTCAAATACTATATATGCGTACAATCGATAGATGATGAAACAGCAGAGATCGTATTGTGTAGATGGGGGCGGTGAGAAGAATTAAGTACTCGAAAAACTTGAAGATCTGAGTAAATTACTAGTTCTTTACATCGATTTCCTATTGTTTTCGGCTGCGCTCAGGTTTAGGAAGCAAGGTTAAAGGAAAATCAAGTTTTCAAATTAATAAAATTTTATTTGTGCTTTTAAAAAATAAATCAATGAATAGACCAAGAGATAAACTTTTTCAAAAACCCATAAAGGGCTGCTGGCCCTAAGCATAATAAACGTTATTCCACATGGTCATTTCCTTTTCTTTTCTGTTTGGTTTCATTGCGAGCTCATTATCCAAGTCTAAATATTGAATATTTGACGGCGAAACTTGAGTCCATGTCACGTTGAGTAGTGGGTCTGTGGGATCGGGCGTAGGGTTCCTGAAATTATACAGATTACGGAAATAATTCGAAAACTCAAAAATAGAAGCGCCCAACCTAATTATCAGAAACAAGTTACAACAATATATATATATATATATATATATATATATATATATATATATATATATATATATATATATATATATATATATATATATATATATATATATATATATATATATATATATATATATCAGGATTCCAGTCGGAGTTCAACGAGCGAACGGATGATATCCCGGAATATAGTGTCATCATATATATATATATATATATATATATATATATATATATATATATATATATATATATATATATATATATATATATATATATATATATATATATATATATATATATATATATATATATATATATATATATATATATATATATATATATATATATATATATATATATATATATATATATATATATATATATATATATATATATATATATATATATATATATATATATATATATATATATATATATATATATATATATATATATATATATATATATATATATATATATATATATATATATATATATATATATATATATATATATATATATATATATATATATATATATATATATATATATATATATATATATATATATATATATATATATATATATATATATATATATATATATATATATATATATATATATATATATATATATATATATATATATATATATATATATATATATATTCTGCCGCAACCAGAACTTGCTGCCAACATTTACAAGGTTGTCTTATCACACACGCACCAGAAAGACACAAGCTATCCTGGACAAAGCTAGCAAGGCCCTACTCCAAGACCAGATCAGGCGGACCCGGTACGAAATTATTGAGACTGAGCTACAACTTTTCAGACTTCACCTGAAACTAAGCAACGAGATCCATCAGTTGCTGTGGGACCATATAGAATTATTAACATTATGGCGCACTCAGAAAGACAAAGATATCACGTCAAAAAAACTGTGGAAAAAATTAGTATATATATATATATATATATATATATATATATATATATATATATATATATATATATATATATATATATATATATATATATATATATATATATATATATATATATATATATATAAATTATATATAAATTCATAATAACCAGAAAAAATAATAAAATGAAAACTAAACAGTTATTATCTCGGCTTGATCACAAATATGGGATCATCAGAAAAACATTACATGAACTACATATAGGATATTAAATATCACTTTTCACATTTTCACAGTTAACTTATTCAAGACACCATTCTTCATAAAAAGCTTCCTTTATATTGACCGGTTATTATTATATTATAATATATATTGAATATTAGTTAAAATCCAAATTTAAGTAGAAGAAAAAAAGAATTTGAGAGAGTACAATCTTGACAATCCGGAAAATTACATCTAAAACATATGAGCAAATTAGGGAGACATTCAAATTACTGCATTAAATGCATTATATCCATGTTTGTAAATAAGTGCAAGTTTAAAATACTTAACTTTCTGCATTGACACCAAAAATTCTTGTACCCAGCAAAACTGTAGTAAACAAACACTAGTTTGCATACCTTAAATTGATGACTTAGTAAATCCACCTCATTTTCATCCGAGATAAACATAAAACCATTAGCTCCATTTCCAGAATCTGATAGCGTGCAAGGTGGTACATAGTGATCAAAACTTGTTGCTTGAGACTCCAATTCTACGTCTGGTTGAGAATGTATAGGTACTATAAAATCATAAGAATAAATTCTGAACAATAAAAGCTCAATAAAGCTTACGGTTAAGCTCTGCCGAAATATGTTCACTGAATGAATTTAGAGAGTCCTCGAGCTTCAACGGCTGGGAACATCGTTGACATGTAAAGGACGCAAAAACTTTATCGTCGCACATATTGAACTACTTAACTATTTATTAAGGTAAAAAATCGTAAAACTAGTCTATGATCACAAAATTAAAAGTATTTTTAATACTGGTTGAATAATTAGTCTTATTCTTTTCTTTAATGCGTTGTATAATTAAAGTGTTTTATTTTTTATTGACCTTTTTACTTCAATTCAATAATGCGTTTCACTAATACAGTTGGCTTACTTTTTACGTCTATTTATATCCATACCATATATATATTTTAGTAAAGTCAGGCCACTCTGCCGTAGGTGATTCGCCCAACCACGACAATTGGTAGCATTATTGTAATTAAGCAGTGTAGGCGTGTTGGTTTCAGGGACACCAGATATTGCTTAAATTGTGATTTCCGTCGATGTTATTTGTAAACGACCAGCAAAGGTTCCACTACCATAAAAACAAAATTCCACCAAAATAAACAAAGTCCATTTTGTTCGAAAAAAAATGGAATTGTGCCTACTGTCAAAAACTCACCAGTTATAAATACATACACTTTTAATAGCAAAAAATACATGCATAAATACATGTGAAAATTCGATCGTGTCTACCAGGTTTTAATTTGCATTTTGACTGCCAAATCTTGCTAAATTTAAAATCAGAAACGTCAATGCATTTATAGTTGATTCCCAAGGAATTAATTGATAGAATATAACAGACCCCTGATTAACTCTTTTTTGATCGAAATTGACACGTTCGGCGATGGGCGAATGATCTTGGTTAATTGAATTGTTACATATTTACTGGCCAGAAAAGAAGAAGAAATCCTGATATTGCTTTGAACAGAGAAAAACGATTCTTTTTTAACGTGTATTTAACGGTGGTGATTATCATTTGTGATTGAGGCTGCAGAAGTAAGATTTAAAAGTAATTTTAATTGGTTAATAGGAACAATATACCCGTGTTAAATATTTTTTTATTTCCATTATAACAAGATAGAAACGCTGTGGCACTATGAACGGTAATGACACGTGTTCCGTGAAAGTTGCTGTGCGTGTACGGCCATTAGTTCCGTTCGAGATATCCAGGGGGTGTAAAGAAGTCCTGGAAATAGTTCCGGAAAATGAACAAATTTTAGTACGTCCAATCCACAAGCCTTTTACGTTTAATTATGTCTTGGGCGTTGATTCCACCCAAGTTGATTTGTACGAGAGATGCGTGGAGCCGCTTTTACAAAACTTATTTGAAGGTTAATATAAAACATTAATTTTTAATGTTTGTACAATTTTTAAGTTTTTTGACGACTTAATTTTTTTCCAGGATATTCTAATTGCTCTTATAAAAAATGATTTTATGCATAAATAAGAAGAAAGCGGGCACACTTTTTCTGCAACTGTTCTAAAAAAATCTAGTATTTTTTTCATGGCGCAAAAACCAATTTTGTCATATTGGTTTTAAAATGGGCATTACTTAAAAGACTTGATAATTTTAGTATAATGGGTGTGGAAATAGTGCAAAAATAGTTATATTTACCACAAATATTTTGGTATTTTTGTAGTGATTCGTTTATATTGTTATATTCTACATTTTAAAAAATATTTCTGTAGGATATGCCATTGGCATATCCAAAACGATAATTAAGAATATTGGAGAGAATTTTAAAATTTAAAATTGCATGACTGTATCAAAAAATGATAAATAGACACAAAAGCGGCGCTTGTTTTTGGTTAGTTTTAGTTTATGTAGTTTTGGTTATATAGTAAGTGAAATATTTTAACATTTGCAGAACCATATGCTTATAGAATATTACTTTTTAGTATAACTGATTTTTTTTTTATATAGTAATATATTGTTTCGTGTGTAATTATTACAGAGAAACCTAAAGTTGTCACGCTTTAAAAAAATGATATTTTATTTTAGACATATAACATAATTGAGAGGAAATTAGGTCAGAAAGAATTATTCAGAAATACCTCAATAAATTGATGTTTGGGGTGGGTTAGCAAAACCTAACACTAAAAATCTAACAATAAAGAAAACTTAACACTAAATCAAATGTTAACACTAAACAAAACCCAACTACACATATAACAAAATCATTAATGGCGTCCCAAATTTTCAAACCGGCGGCCATCATTCTCAATGCAAAGCTACATTGAAAGAGCAGCAGTCTCTACTTCAGCCATCCAAATTCCTTGAATGCCATTCCTGTGTGGCATAGACGATATCTTTAATTTTGCCCCACAAATAAATTAAATAAAATAAATTATTGATTATTGGTGATTATTATGGACAAAATCTAATGTAACTCTAGTGGAAAATATAAGCATCCTGCGTCACGTTTGTCGTCTCTGGTACTATTTCTATGCTACGGTTGAAAAATATGTTGAATAATCCCCTTAATTTGACAAGATAGGAAAAAATTGTTAAAATGAGTTGTAAGACTAACACTGCCTATATATATATATATATATATATATATATATATATATATATATATATATATATATATATATATATATATATATAATATAAAATCTTTTTTTATCGCAGGATTTAATGTTACCATTCTTGCATATGGTCAAAATGGATCTGGAAAAACTCATTCTATGGGAACTGCCTACCAAGGAGAGGATCATGCGGGGGTTATACCTAGGGCTGTGAAACATATATTTGATTATATCAAGCATAATTTGTCCATAGATTTTACTGTTAGTGTGTCGTTTATTGAGCTTTACAACGAAAGAATTTTCGATCTGTTATCTGATAAGCCTCGAGACCAATGTAGATTAGAAATTCGCGAAGACGTCAAAGGTAGAAATTTGAAACAGTAGAATTTCATGATTTATTTCTTGTTGAAAATTTTCAGGGAACATACTTATAGCGAAATTAACTGAGACAATAGTAGAATCTGCCACTCAACTTTTAGATATACTGACGAAGGGTTCCAATGGACGAGCAACAGCTGCTACGAGCATGAACTTGCATAGTTCCAGAAGTCATGCTATATTCACCATTAACATTGCTATGCAGCACAAATTTGAAAGGTAATTTTTAACCAGTTCAATTTGATTAGGCTTTGTTTTAAATTATGATTTAAAATAATATAAAATTCTGTTAATAAAACGATTTTAAATTAAAAAAATGTGCAGAAGATAATTTGATCCTCAACAAAAGCCTTTTAGATTTGTTTAGTGGGTATACCACATATGTGACAAAAACAACAACATTTTGCTCATTTATGATTTTCTGTACCTTTAAAAATTCAATGAAAATATGTTGTAGAAATCAAAATAAGAACGCAAAATTGCACCTAGTTGACCTAGCTGGATCCGAGCGACCCAAGAAAACTGGAGCAGTTGGCAGTACATTTAAAGAGGGCGTAAATATCAACAAAGGACTTTTTGTGCTGGGAAATGTTATCAACTGTCTAGGAAATAATAAATCTCAACAAAGTTTTGTGCCATATAGAGACAGTAATTTAACACGGCTATTGAAAGGTAGGTTTGAATGAATTCTGTGCATCAAAATTTACCTGACTATTTTAGACTCTCTTGGGGGTAATAGTATGCTCCTGATGATTGCATGTGTTAGCCCTGCGGACTATAATTTGGAAGAAACTCTTTCGACCTTGAGATATGCTGACAGCGCGCGAAAAATTAAGAACAAACCAGTGATAAACCAAGGCCTAAGTCTTCTGCAGTTAGAACGAGTTAAGAGTAAAACCGAAATGAGGTATGTTTATAGAAGTTTACAAACTTTTTTAATATGGAGGAATTTTGAAAACTAAAAAAAATTATATGTAGTTACGATTATACCAACTTATCTCAGTGCCAACGTTTTAACGTTTTGTTACGTCGGATCTATAATGTAGGCTTCCTTAAACTCAAAATATCATTTATATTCATGTTATTAATTGTTAATATTGTTAGGTATTAATAGTTATGATGCAGCTCCATAATATTCACCCAAGTTATTCTCATCGCACAGTTACACATCCTTACAAAAAAATTTCTATATAATATTTTTTATTTTCATACCGGGTTGGCCATATCTTTGGTAACAAACAGACGGGAGCCATGAAACTAGTACAAGGTGGCAAAATCTGTTAAAAAAATATTTTAAGAACTAATTAAAATTAACAAAAAAAAAAGGAACCACATAAAATGCCTCAACTTTTTTCTGTTACATAAATCCTTATTTATATAAATAGAATCTGTAATTGTAATAAATTAAAATATGGGTAGGGTCTTCCATACAGATGCAATATTGGACAACGCAACATGGAAATCTTTGAAATTTAGCAACCATTTTCACTTTTCAAAGCAAATTAATGTATTATTTTGTGATCAAACTAATATTAAAATTTACATAAAATTTTTGAATTTTTAATCTTATCTTATCTTTGTAGAGAGTTAACACGTGTAGAGCAACAAGATCAGAAAAAGCAAACTGAAATAACAAAAATTAAGGTAATGCATGCTAATCAGCAGAATGTGTTGAAATGGAAGTTTGAAGAAGCGGCGGCATTAAATAAAAGACTTCAACAGACTCTGATTTTGAGGAAGCAAGTACAAGATTCTAAATTTAATGGAAAACCCGATAAAATTGGTCCTTTGGTAAGATACGCGTTTCGAATCCCAAATCCAACGATTTTGGTTCACTGACTTATAGCACATTAAATTTTTTTTCCGATCTCTTGATTCAATTTACAGGCCATGTCACATTACTAGTCGCTATGAGTTTGAGTCTCTTAAGTTGCATAGATAAGTTTTCATTTTAACATTACCTAGGTAACTCCAAACGCAAATTAGTAGTGTGTATTATTTTGCAGAATTGTTAGATAGTAACCTAAAATATATTTTTTTTTCGGTCAACCAGGTGAAGTGTGGGCACAATTTTACCTCGGTCCGAGAAAATTTTCATTTTTTTGACGTAATTCTAGTCTTCAACAGAATTTTTCGGTCTGGGTGAGTTTTATATTTAGTCAGCCGTAAATATTTGCTTTGGTTTGGTGTCGCAGTTCGCAATAATTTAGCGCTTTTCATATCATGGCATGTGCTTCGGGAGGTAAAGACCCCCCTGATAGAAACGATGTATCGTAGTTAATAATCCGATAGTGTTCGCAAATGATTTTGATTCCTTTCAAGCTCAACTAAACTTGTCCCAAGCTTCTACCTCCTCTAGCAGTGGTTATTCATCAGCCTTGACGCTTTCGCCTTTAGCTAAGAAAACAGCACATGCTATCACTCATCACTCTTAGTACCCACTAAGGAGGAAATAGATTTATTGGAGACAGAGTTACAAAAGCTTAAATCTGTCTTCGTGGAAGATCAGGATGCCCTAAACGAAATTGCAAGAATTTCAGTCAACATAAGGAGAATACTTAACTGAAAGTATAAATATGAACTTACAGACCAGGGACCATTTCTTATCATAATGGAGGGAATAACTTCTCAAGTTGGAAACATTCACCCGATGAATGTTGGAAAAATTTTGTACAGAGCTGGAGTACAAGGTATAACAAAAATCAATAGAAAAGGGGCTAATAAAATTGGAATTGAATTCAGAACATCAGAGTATGCTAATCAGTTTTTGTCAAATGAAAGTTTCAGTTCTGCTAGAGGCTATAATAGGTACATTCCAAAACGTCTTGTCACTTGTAGAGGACTAATCAAGGATGTAGGGGACCAAATTACGGAAGAGGATTTTTACTCAGAAGCGGTAACTTATACAGGGGAAGGATCCCGGGCCAGGTCGATTAAGATATTAAATGTAAAAAAAGTCTTAAGAAGGAAGAAAATACTTGCTATTTCTGGCGAAACAGTAATGAAAACCATCCCCACAAACGATTATATTGTAACATTTGAAGGCAAATCATTACCCCAAACTGTAAATATTTTTAATAATGAAAGAGAAGTGGAAAAATATGTTAACCAGTTTATAATGTGCGTCAATTGTTGCAGATTTGGACATGTCAAAAATAATTGTAGAGGCAAGCCTCGTTGCGGTTTTTGTACAGAAGATCATCTTATGTTTGTTTCTGAAAAAAGAGGGCAAGCAATGAAAAAAATGAAATGCCCCGCAGATCATCTTAACAATCTGACTAAAACGTGTAAAATTCCAAATTGTGAAGCAAATCCAAAACCAAGCTGCGTAAATTGCAAGGGACACCACACTGCTACTGACTGGGGATGTTCTGAATACAAACGGCAAAAACAAATTAACGAAACCATGAGCTTCTACAACCTTTCTTTTTATGAAGCAGCTAAACTGCATCCACGGCTAATTAATACAAACCAAGGCTTTACCCGAAAACCAGAAGATTTTTCTAGTTTAAATAAAAAAACTCAGAATAAAACTCCTCATCCAACAAGTCCTCAGAGCTGTTCCTTATATACATCAGTACTTAAAAGAAAACGGCCTGACACCCAATTTATCAAAGGGTATGATAAAGTAGCCCATGAACTAACTTTGTTACCCTCAAGTGCAAGAAGAAAAGTCTCATCTATACAAGTAGGTGAAAACTCGACATCAGAGTCGGAAATGGAAGTAACTCCTGTAGGAAATGGCTGGGAAGAAGTATGCAACAAGTTTGAAGCTTTCAAAAAAGACGTTATGTCAATAAAGGGTATGGATGAAAATTGTGTCAACAATATCAAACAATATTTTGGTTCATTTGACCTACGGAGGGGGGGCGGCTGCGATGGCAGCGGTTGACCTACAGGGGTTAGAAAAAGAAAAGGTAATCTTATCACTAGTTTTAATCTAACAGTAGTTTTTACGTAACAAAACTAAGTTTAAGTTTTAGTCACAAGCGTTTTATAGTTGAGCTATAATGAATATCATTCATTGGAACATTTGCGGGGCTGAAAAAAATAAAGATGCTATCATTAGAGTTATAAGGGATTTTAAGCTACAGATCTTATTGCTCAATGAAACCTTGCTCAAACCCAACACCAACTTTAAAATATCAGGGTTCTCTTCTGTAAGAGCTGATAAACCTAATGGTGCAGATGGTATAGCAATTTTCTTGAAAAACAAAATAAAATATAATATCATCGACTTAAGCAGAATTAATATACCAGAGAGGTGTCAGGTTGTTCTTGCAGAGCTTGTCGATTTTTTTATTTGTTGTGTTTACATCCCTCCAGATATTTGTTTGGTCAGGGCAAGCCTCGATTCAATTTTCGATCTAACCCGTAATAAACCAGTCCTCTTTATGCGAGACTTTAATGCCCATAATCCAATATGGGGTTCCCAGGTCAGTTACTCACGGGGAATTAGAAGTGGGAACATTCTTTATGATTTTATTAAGGATCACGATTTGTGGGTACTAAATGATGGATCAGCTACTCGGCTCACACGCCCAGGCGTACACAGCGCTCCAGATGTAGCTTTTTGCTCCCAGAGACTGTCTGGACTTACTGACTGCAGGGTTCTCCAGGATAGAGTGAATAGCGATCATTTTCCTATTTTGTGGTATCATCGGAAATAACCGTTGCAACTCAGGTTCGACAAGAAACTACACTAGCAAATATAATTTCAATATAATCTCCACGAAATTTAGAACTTCACCTCCTATAAATTATGAGGATTTTATGAATATAATTTTCCTATCTATTGCAGAATCTGTTCCAATGCATAAACACTCATTAAACTACGGGTTACCTTGATGGGATAATGAGTGCACCAACGCTGTTAAAAGGAAAAGACAAGCATTCAGAGATTATAAAAACAACCCCTCTGAGACCAATTTCCTGGAATCATTAAGAACACGGGCACAAACAAGACAGCTGCTACGTAAGAAGAAAAAGGAAGGCTTTGTCAACTTTTGTGAGAATCTATCTCCAAACACTAGTGCAAAAGAAGTTTGGAGCAGTATTAGAAGGTTTGCTAAAGGTATCAGGTACCAAAATTATCATTTTCCCTTGAATTTCTCAATCCCACAAGATATGTTTGATCTTTTGACGCAACCTCCCTCTATGTTGCGTAACCTCCCCGAATGTCGCTTCTCATCAGAATATACCGAAGACTTCCATATCTCAGAATTTGTCGCGGCTGTTATAGGTCGGAAGAGCAAGAGTCCCGGTGTGGATAAAGTACCTTTCAGTGTGCTCAGCCATCTCCCTGTTGAAGGAGCAGTCTTTCTTATCAAATTTTTCAACAAAATACTTCGGAGGGAAACCACCATTCCAGAGACGTGGAAAACCCAAATGGTGATCGCAATTCCTAAACCGGGGAGAGACCCCTCAGCGTTATCGTCCTACAGGCCCATCAACCTAGCTTCTTGCATAAGCAAAACTTTTGAAATTATGATCAAAAACCGACTGGAATGGTTCGTAGAGAACCAAGGTTTAATAGACGTTCGCCAAACTGGTTTCAGAAAGGGTAAGGGAACTTTCGACAATCTTGCAGTTATCTCCTCAGAGGTCCTCTGCCGTTTGGCTCGCAATCAACTAGCACCAATGGTGACTTTGGACATATCCAATGCCTACGATAATATAAATGTTGACTATTGACCTCGGTGTTGGCCAAAATTGGAATCGCCAGAGATTTGACTTTGCTCATTAAAGATTTTCTCACGAACAGGAAGATACAAGTTAAAGATCCATCTACTAATACATTCGTGTCAGGCAGAACCACCAGCAAGGGAGTTCCCCAAGGTTCCCCTCTTTCTCTATTACTATTTAATATTTACATCAATTCAATTAAACAAAACAATTCCTGAGAACATAAGACTTTTACAGTTTGCGGACGATACCGCCTTGCTGAGTACTGGGACTGATGCCCAAACAATAGTGAACAATTTGAATAGAACTTTGCAAAATATGCATATTTGGTCTTTGAATGTAGGACTTGAGATTAACCCCAATAAATCTGCATCTATATTTTTTTCCAGGAAGAATTACAAGGTTAATTATCTCCCCAGACTTCACCTCAACACTCGAACCATTGCATGGAGAAATTCCATCACACATCTAGGAGTGATTTTTGATCCAAAGCTGTCATGGGAGCCACAAATTAGAAATATGATACAGAAAGCTTCAGGTGGGTTGAATATGATGCGATTTATAAGTAGAATCTGGTGGGGGGCACATCCCTCTACCCTTCTAACTTTTTACAAAGCTTATGTTAGACCCCATTTGGATTATGGAGCCTCTTTTTTGGGTGGTAGCTCAAGAAAGTCTATTGCTCAACTTAACAAAATTCAATTTGAGGCACTGAGAATAGCTCTGGGATATATGAAGTCCACACCTACTAACATACTTCTAGGGGAAGCAAGTGAAATGGATTTAGAACACAGAAGATACATGCTAGCAACTAAATCATTATTGAAAGCTGCCAGTTTAGTGGACAGTGAAACCTTAGCTGCGGTTAGATGGTTATATATCACCTATAATGAAAACTATTACTTTTTTCGGAAAAAGAGTATTCTTGCACTTGTGGATGCTTTTGAAAGAGTTGATTCACTGTTAGATACACTTTACAGGAGCCCACTTTATCCCTGTTTCTCTTGTCCACTGCCGAACCTTTTAAGCTCTGTTCAAATCCAAGACTTAAAACTAAAGAAAGATAATAATAACTCCAAATTATTTGAAATTAAGAAGAGCGAGACTTGGACCCCAGATTTTCATTTAATTTTTACAGACGCCTCAAAAGATAAAGAAGGCCGAGCAGGTTTTGGCGTTTACAACTACAATACGAACCTTAAAAAAAATGGGACAAGGCCTACCAAGTGAACTATCCATTTGCTCTGCCGAGATTTATGCTATTGGTCAAGCTCTTGATTGGATTGAATTCAAGGAGATCAACAAAGCAGTCATCCTTTCAGACTCCAAAAGTGCCCTCGAAGATATCAATAAAATTGGGATGGGTGCAAAGTCTAACTACCTAACCTTGCAGGTTAAGAATAAACTATTTACCTTAATAAAAACTCAAAATAAGGACATCCAATTATGCTGGATACCAAGCCATACCAGTATAAAAGAAAACGATATTGCGGACCAGATCGCCAATGCTGCACGCCTCGAACCACAGGAAAATATAAAATTGAGCTTTAGGGAATTCTTCCCTAAATTAAAGCATAACATCTGGAATGCTTGGAGCGACAGATGGAAACATATAGGATTAGGGAAAGGAGTTAATTTCACCTCACATTATTCTACTCCGCCAACTAAACCCTGGTTTCATAAGCTCGACCTGAATAGAAGAGAAATCACAACTATGTGTAGACTGAGAAGCAACCATTGCTGTTCTCCGGCTCACCTAAAGAGAATCAAAGTCAAACTCTCCGGAGACTGTGAATGTGGAGAACTGGGCGATTTTAGTCATGTGCTGTTTGATTGTGCTCTTCATTGGGAAAAATCACAACAGTTGTATGAGTCACTCATTAGTGCTAATTTTCCTTCGCCTCTGCATATTAATTCCATTTTATTTCACCGCACTCAGTTGGATTTTGCTGCTAGAATTGTTTGCCGCTTTTTAGATGCATGTGGATTAAAACTTTGAATATTGTTTTCACATATTCTAATTCTTTCGTCCATTTTTTTTTCCTGTATAGCCGTCCAGTAGGATGATGGTATCACCCAGACCCTCTTTACGGAGGCATCCTTCATGGAAATAGTTTATTGCACACCACTACCGAGAAGCTGGCCGAATTGCCTTAGCAGCAGCGGCCAAATAAAGCGTAATTAAAAAAAAAAAAACCTAAAATAAAAGATTCCTGTGTTTTTAGCTTAAACAAGAATTAGAGATCATGATGAACCTGATAGAGTTAGAGACAACATTAAGTGGATTGCTAGATGATAGATAGAGCAATTTTACAACAGCAATTAGATGAACTGATGAAGAATCCGAAAACTGCCGAGTCGAACGAAACAAAAACGATTAAAGATGATATTGAATTAAGATCTGTGCAAATTCAAGATTTACAACTGAAGTTGCTGGATTTTGATAAAGGCTAGTAAAAAAAAATACAATTACTGTAAACTTTTTTTTCTATTTTATAGAGAAACCAAAAACTAGGTTTGATAGAATCCAATCTATGGCAGAGGCAAAATATGCGCTCAAATTATTGTTTGAGCAAGCCGAAGAATTTTTCAAGAAATTTGTTCAGTGCAAAAATAAATGTAGCGAATTGATGGAGATTAATAAAGTACTTTCAGAGAAAAATGAAAGAGACGCCCATACCTTAAAACTGACTGAAGACAAATATAGGGATATCCTGTCCAACCAGCAACAGGTGTATGAAGAAAAGGTGGCGATATTATTGAGGCAACTTAGAGGAATCGAAAATGGAAGTGAGTGGGTCGTTTTTTAAAAATTTTAATTGGTTTTCCTTCAGTGGTTCACTTAACATCAGTTATAGTGATTATTATATTACGGCTTACGCTTTTGGTAGGGTTCCCTTTAGAGTTTAGAGGATTGATAAACAATTTTAACCGATGAACACCGTATAGTCCGAATTATAATGAAGAAAGTAAAAAAGTTGATATAAACTTATGCTCAAAAGTTCTTCGTTGTTCTCTTTAGTTTTTTTGCTACAATAAAACCTAAAATAACTAAAAAGTTGTTAGTAATCTATATTTAGAAAACAATTCTGAAAATAATGATACACTAATAAAATCGTCTGATTTTACAGAACTTAACTGGAAGTTAAAAAAATTGAAATAATTATTAAAGCAATATGTAAATAAAGATCCAACGATTCAAATCTATCCCCATACTCTGACGAGCTCCCACTTTAGCTCTGTAATAATTTAAACTCATGTGGATAAAACGAGTGGCGCTAATAGAAAGCTACGCACCATGCCAAACTAACTTCAAATTAGGTTTCAAAGAATGCAAGATGTAGGTCTGCACTCAAGTTTTATTATATTAGGAATTATTTGCCTCGAGCGGCTTTTGGAATGAGTTGGTTTTAACCAGCGATATGTCGCTTTTATGGGTTAGCATTTTATGCGTTTAGACTATATGAGTGCACTCTTTACAGCAAAGTCGTGACAGGTGTTCTGAATAGTCAGGGTGTTATTGAAATTACATCATGTAATTTAACGAGTGCATTACTCCTGGTTTCGGTAGTGTTGCTCAGTAATTCCGCGACATCAAACATGACAATTGAACTGTTCGCTTTTATTTTTCTTATTATTTTTTAATTGCATTTTAAAAACAAAATCGATTAGGTAATAGTAAACATTTGTCATACGACAATGATCAAGAACCATAGAGTGTAGAAAAAAACTAGGAGCGGCTTTGATTTAATATAAAAAATTGACGAAATGTTTTTCAATTATCGTTTAAATGAGGTGCTATAAGTATGTTGAAAATGTTCAATATCGAGGCGCAATGCTGTATGTTCTTATTTAAGTTTTTTTTTTCTTTTGATGAATGCTAAAGCCTGCTCTAACAATATAACAATAAAACCTAAAATAACTGAAAATTGCAAACTAAATTAAGATAATTTGTGTTGTTACAAAAAATCGCAATATTTGAACATCCTGTATGTCGGAAGAAAAGCATTTGACAAGTCCTACTTTTTCCATCCTTCATTACTCACAAATCCAAATCATATAATTTGGTATAAAATTTCAAGAAGTGTTATTAATAGAGACTTGTATGTTTGTTATTCACCCCAAATATGTAAACGCAGACAAAGGTGTTTCATTTTTAATAATCTCTAGGTCAAAATGGCGATTCCGGATTGTCTCGATGCCAGACTCAAAAGGAATTAATTGAGAAACAAGAAAAACAGATAGAAGAGCAGCAAAAACTAATAAATAAGTTAAAGAATAAATTAGAAGAGAATGAGGTAAGATTCAAGTAAATTTTGGTTGCAAAATGTTCTTTTTTGTTTTGTTGTGTTTAGAAAGCCAATTTGGAGAATGTCCCGATATCCCAAAATTCAAGGAAAAGAAACAAATCGACTGTTGTTGAGAGCATTGAAGAAGATGATAAACTTGCAGAACCTGTAAGTTTTTTGGGGGGTGATTATGATTTATATGAGAAATATATACTCTTAATTTTGTAGATAGACGCATCAGAACCCGAAGATTCGTTCGGCGACGATCTTATTAACGATCCTGATTGGCGAAAAACGCCATTAGGCAAGAGAGTAATAGCGAAAAAGAAAAAAATTATCAAACAAAGTCAGATTTCGGTACAAGGTGAGTTAGCTTATCCATCTATACATTTACAAGTATGAAACAAAAATAATTCGGTGTATCATTTTTTATTTAGTAATAATATATTATAAAAATTGTTCATAGTTGAATGGAGATAATATCAAACATTAATAAAGCCACCCAACAAGATCAGACGCTCCACCAGTAGTCGTGGTGGGGTCTCGGGGCAGTCCAATAATACCTGTTGATATTAATTCTTTCTTTAATTCTTCTTCTTTAATTTGAAGTTCTTGTACAAAATGTCCAATTAACAAAAAGTTGTTAGTAATCTATATTTAGAAAACAATTCTGAAAATAATGATACACTAATAAAATCGTCTGATTTTACAGAACTTAACTGGAAGTTAAAAAAATTGCAATAATTAAAGCAATATGTAAATAAAGATCCAACGATTCAAATCTATCCCCATACTCTGACGAGCTCCCACTTTAGCTCTGTAATAATTTAAACTCATGTGGATAAAACGAGTGGCGCTAATAGAAAGCTACGCACCATGCAAAACTAACTTCAAGTAAGGTTTCAAAGAATGCAGGATGTAAGTCTGCACTCAAGTTTCATTATATTAGGAATTATTTGCCTCTGGCGGCTTTTGGAATGAGTTGGTTTTAACCAGCGATATGTCGCTTTTATGGGCAAATGTTTGATGCGTTTAGACTATATGAGTGCACTCTTGACAGCAAAGTCTTGACAGGTGTTCTGAATAGTCAGGGTGTTATTGAAATTACATCATGTAATTTAACGAGTGCATTACTCCTCCTGGTTTCGGTAGTGTTGCTCAGTAATTCCGCGACATCAAACATGACAATTGAACTTTTCGCTTTTATTTTTCTTATTATTTTTTAATTGCATTTTAAAAACAAAATCGATTAGGTAATAGTAAACATTTGTCATACGACAATGATCAAGAACCATAGAGTGTAGAAAAAAACTAGGAGCGGCTTTGATTTAATATAAAAAATTGACGAAATGTTTTACAATTATCGTTTAAATGAGGTGCTATAAGTATGTTGAAAATGTTCAATATCGAGGCGCAATGCTGTATGTTCTTATTTAATTTTTTTTTTCTTTTGATGAATGCTAAAACCTGCTCTAACAATATAACAATAAAACCTAAAATAACTGAAAATTGCAAACTAAATTAAGATAATTCGTGTTGTTACAAAAAATCGCAATATTTGAACATCCTGTGTGTCGGAAGAAAAGCATTTGACAAGTCCTACTTTTTCCATCCTTCATTACTCACAAATCCAAATCATATAATTTGGTATAAAATTTTAAGAAGTGTTATTAATAGAGACTTGTATGTTTGTTATTCACCCCAAATATGTAAACGCAGACAAAGGTGTTTCATTTTTAATAATCTCTAGGTCAAAATGGCGATTCCGGATTGTCTCGATGCCAGACTCAAAAGGAATTAATTGAGAAACAAGAAAAACAGATAGAAGAGCAGCAAAAACTAATAAATAAGTTAAAGAATAAATTAGAAGAGAATGAGGTAAGATTCAAGTAAATTTTGGTTGCAAAATGTTCTTTTTTGTTTTGTTGTGTTTAGAAAGCCAATTTGGAGAATGTCCCGATATCCCAAAATTCAAGGAAAAGAAACAAATCGACTGTTGTTGAGAGCATTGAAGAAGATGATAAACTTGCAGAACCTGTAAGTTTTTTGGGGGGTGATTATGATTTATATGAGAAATATATACTCTTAATTTTGTAGATAGACGCATCAGAACCCGAAGATTCGTTCGGCGACGATCTTATTAACGATCCTGATTGGCGAAAAACGCCATTAGGGAAGAGAGTAATAGCGAAAAAGAAAAAAATTATCAAACAAAGTCAGATTTCGGTACAAGGTGAGTTAGCTTATCCATCTATACATTTACAAGTATGAAACAAAAATAATTCGGTGTATCATTTTTTATTTAGTAATAATATATTATAAAAATTGTTCATAGATGAAAGGAGATAATATCAAACATTAATAAAGCCACCCAACAAGATCAGACGCTCCACCAGTAGTCGTGGTGGGGTCTCGGGGCAGTCCAATAATACCTGTTGATATTAATTCTTTCTTTAATTCTTCTTCTTTAATTTGAAGTTCTTGTACAAAATGTCCAATTAACAAAAAGTTGTTAGTAATCTATATTTAGAAAACAATTCTGAAAATAATGATACACTAATAAAATCGTCTGATTTTACAGAACTTAACTGGAAGTTAAAAAAATTGCAATAATTATTAAAGCAATATGTAAATAAAGATCCAACGATTCAAATCTATCCCCATACTCTGACGAGCTCCCACTTTAGCTCTGTAATAATTTAAACTCATGTGGATAAAACGAGTGGCGCTAATAGAAAGCTACGCACCATGCCAAACTAACTTCAAGTAAGGTTTCAAAGAATGCAAGATGTAAGTCTGCACTCAAGTTTCATTATATTAGGAATTATTTGCCTCTGGCGGCTTTTGGAATGAGTTGGTTTTAACCAGCGATATGTCGCTTTTATGGGCAAATGTTTGATGCGTTTAGACTATATGAGTGCACTCTTGACAGCAAAGTCTTGACAGGTGTTCTGATTAGTCAGGGTGTTATTGAAATTACATCATGTAATTTAACGAGTGCATTACTCCTCCTGGTTTCGGTAGTGTTGCTCAGTAATTCCGCGACATCAAACATGACAATTGAACTTTTCGCTTTTATTTTTCTTATTATTTTTTAATTGCATTTTAATAACAAAATCGATTAGGTAATAGTAAACATTTGTCATACGACAATGATCAAGAACCATAGAGTGTAGAAAAAAACTAGGAGCGGCTTTGATTTAATATAAAAATTGACGAAATGTTTTTCAATTATCGTTTAAATGAGGTGCTATAAGTATGTTGAAAATGTTCAATATCGAGGCGCAATGCTGTATGTTCTTATTTAAGTTTTTTTTTTTCTTTTGATGAATGCTAAAACCTGCTCTAACAATATAACAATAAAACCTAAAATAACTGAAAATTGCAAACTAAATTAAGATAATTCGTGTTGTTACAAAAAATCGCAATATTTGAACATCCTGTGTGTCGGAAGAAAAGCATTTGACAAGTCCTACTTTTTCCATCCTTCATTACTCACAAATCCAAATCATATAATTTGGTATAAAATTTTAAGAAGTGTTATTAATAGAGACTTGTATGTTTGTTATTCACCCCAAATATGTAAACGCAGACAAAGGTGTTTCATTTTTAATAATCTCTAGGTCAAAATGGCGATTCCGGATTGTCTCGATGCCAGACTCAAAAGGAATTAATTGAGAAACAAGAAAAACAGATAGAAGAGCAGCAAAAACTAATAAATAAGTTAAAGAATAAATTAGAAGAGAATGAGGTAAGATTCAAGTAAATTTTGGTTGCAAAATGTTCTTTTTTGTTTTGTTGTGTTTAGAAAGCCAATTTGGAGAATGTCCCGATATCCCAAAATTCAAGGAAAAGAAACAAATCGACTGTTGTTGAGAGCATTGAAGAAGATGATAAACTTGCAGAACCTGTAAGTTTTTTGGGGGGTGATTATGATTTATATGAGAAATATATACTCTTAATTTTGTAGATAGACGCATCAGAACCCGAAGATTCGTTCGGCGACGATCTTATTAACGATCCTGATTGGCGAAAAACGCCATTAGGCAAGAGAGTAATAGCGAAAAAGAAAAAAATTATCAAACAAAGTCAGATTTCGGTACAAGGTGAGTTAGCTTATCCATCTATACATTTACAAGTATGAAACAAAAATAATTCGGTGTATCATTTTTTATTTAGTAATAATATATTATAAAAATTGTTCATAGATGAATGGAGATAATATCAAACATTAATAAACACCCAACAAGATCAGACGCTCCACCAGTAGTCGTGGTGGGGTCTCGGGGCAGTCCAATAATACCTGTTGATATTAATTCTTTCTTTAATTCTTCTTCTTTAATTTGAAGTTCTTGTACAAAATGTCCAATTAACAAAAAGTTGTTAGTAATCTATATTTAGAAAACAATTCTGAAAATAATGATACACTAATAAAATCGTCTGATTTTACAGAACTTTACTGGAAGTTAAAAAAATTGCAATAATTATTAAAGCAATATGTAAATAAAGATCCAACGATTCAAATCTATCCCCATACTCTGACGAGCTCCCACTTTAGCTCTATAATAATTTAAACTCATGTGGATAAAACGAGTGGCGCTAATAGAAAGCTACGCACCATGCCAAATTAACTTCAAGTAAGGTTTCAAAGAATGCAAGATGTAAGTCTGCACTCAAGTTTCATTATATTAGGAATTATTTGCCTCTGGCGGCTTTTGGAATGAGTTGGTTTTAACCAGCGATATGTCGCTTTTATGGGCAAATGTTTGATGCGTTTAGACTATATGAGTGCACTCTTGACAGCAAAGTCTTGACAGGTGTTCTGAATAGTCAGGGTGTTATTGAAATTACATCATGTAATTTAAAGAGTGCATTACTCCTCCTGGTTTCGGTAGTGTTGCTCAGTAATTCCGCGACATCAAACATGACAATTGAACTGTTCGCTTTTATTTTTCTTATTATTTTTTAATTGCATTTTAAAAACAAAATCGATTAGGTAATAGTAAACATTTGTCATACGACAATGATCAAGAACCATAGAGTGTAGAAAAAAACTAGGAGCGACTTTGATTTAATATAAAAAATTGACGAAATGTTTTTCAATTATCGTTTAAATGAGGTGCTATAAGTATGTTCTTATTTAAGTTTTTTTTTTCTTTTGATGAACGCTAAAACCTGCTCTAACAATATTTTTATTAAGATTTACGCAGGGGACGGACACGTTTGTTGAACGATGGATGCACTTGCAAAACAAAATGTAACAGTGTCAGATGCGGCTGTAGAAAAGCGAATAAAATATGCATGGGCACTTGCAAATGCGATGCATCCGTATGCGAAAATAGGACGTCTTCGTCCACTAATGCTGTAAGTTTGGAGTAGGGGATGATCTGAGTTATTGCTAAACACGTGACATATTTTTTAGGAAGTGGATTAAGATGCTTCCGAGTTGATCCATGATTTTAAGAGGCCTAGGTAAGTCGATCTTGATTTACAGCTTTTCGCAGGTGTTATTAAATCTTAAGTAAATTTTTAAATTCTAAAGTATTTGTTGTTTTGTGAAAAAAAAAACAATGTTGCAATAAGAGGCAGGGAGTGTCGCAATAATTTGGTTGGTTAATATATACAAGTATATTTTCAGGGTGGATGAAGAAATGGAAAGTCAAATTGCTAGGCGGTGTCAAGAGCCCAAAAAACTATTTATCCCACAATGATTTTAACTATGTGACGTAAATATTTTTACTTATATGACTTATTTTTACTTTTATTTTTACTTATATATAAATATATCTTCAGAGTGGACAAAGAAATGAAAAGCCAAATTGGTATGCGACGTTAAGTTTTTTCCTTACGTTGTGGATATTTATATATAAGAATCTGTCTTACAAAAAACTATTCGTCCTACAATTATCTTGAATCTGTGATTGTTAGTTTAGTCTTAATTTTAAGTGTGATTATCATGTCCCATTTTTAAGTTATGAATAATCTCTGTGAGAAAAATTATTCATCATACAAATATTTTACATATGCGACTGTTAGTATGTTCGTTTAATTTTCGTTATTTTTACGTTATATTGTGCATATTTATAATCTGTATTACAAAAAATAATATTTATTAAATGCTGATTTTTTATTATATTTTGTAAAATTTTATTTAGGGTTTAGCCAATTTACAAAACTTTTACATTCATTAAAGGCACAGAAACCAGAACAAAATATAACAATTGCAATAAATAGAATTAACTGGATGCATTCAAACGGAACACATCAGAAACAAATTCGCGGAGGCTGCCGACAAAAAGATCAAGCTTTACACATTTGCACGCTTTCAGCATTCTAGTAAGGAGTGAATAAACTCCATAACTTGCGCGATAGTAAGATATGCGGAACATTGAGTTATCTGTAATATGCCTGTCGCCGTCGGACCTGCTTAACACCAGTTTCCGTAGTTCTAACACATTTTAAATGCGCTAAAAACATACCAGCCACTTTTAGTTGTTCTTCGGCAGACGTGAAACAAATAATCGATCAAAAACAGTGCTCACACAATAGTATTTGTAGTGTTTTAGTTGAGTTCCGCGTGGTCGGGCTTAGTCGTGTTTATATATTTTTTTCTAAAAGTGCAGTCCGCGGACGGACTGCACGGATGGCGCCGAATATCAACAATCGTTCGGGGTCTCAGAACTAGGACCCATGTCTTTTACAGTGGCGTAACTTCCTCAGGGCATGATATCGTTGCTGTTACTGTATCCTGGCTTCAACCAGATTTTCGGGCTACTGAACTCTTTCCTGATTCTTATCTGGTCTACCGCTCAGACAGAAGGCAAGATCTAACCGGAGTCTCCAGGGGCGGTGGTGTCATGCTCGGTGTTCGTGACAGTTTTGAGTCTGCACTTCTGGATACCGCCGGCATCAGCAACAGTGCTCCAAGCATAGACTTTTTAGGCTGTAAGATCTCTTTAGATTACTTTGTATTTTATGTATTTTTAGTATACATTCCTTCCACTGCTGCCAACTTCGAAGTTGAGAACTTTTTTGAATCTTTGTCGTCGCTGGACTTGTTGTTTGGTGGATCTGTCTTGTTATTGGGTGACTTCAATATTCCTTCTTTCACTGTTTCAGCTCCTGTCAATGTCCGACATAGATCCCTACTCAACCTCAGCGCCATATTGAATCTTAAACAGCATAACTCTGTAACTAACCTAAATCACCATTGCTTAGATCTCGTTTTCGCCAATTTCGACGTTGCGATATTGAGAAACGCAGTACCATTTATCGACGAGGATCCACAGCATCCTTCGTTAATAGTTTCTCTCCAAGTCTCTTTTCCACACGTCTCTAATTTTCCAATCAATAGGAACGATCAAACCGAATTTAACTTTAGGATGGCCAACTATCCTCATATGTATGAACTGATGCAACATGCAGACTGGAATAGTGTTATGGAGTGCTCGGATGTCGACAGGGCTCTAACACTTTTTTACGACATGCTAAACAATATTTTTGCCCTTTGCACGCCCACTAAAACACCGAGACAAAGGCGATTTCCATCATGGTTCACTAAAGAAATGATCGCAACTATATTTGAGAAGGAGAAAGCTTTCTGCAATTTCAAGCAACATAAATCTGCTTATTATTTTGGCCGATATACCGCGCTACGTAAGTCAATCAAGTTCCAACGCATTGCCTATACTGATTTTCTTCGTCGTGCTGAGTTAACTATACATGATAGTCCTACCAATTTCTGGTCATTTATTCAGCGGAAGAAGGCAGATTCGCGAATCCCAGCCTCGATGTCCTATTCCAGTCAGCCATGCCAAGGGCCTAATATGGTTGTTGCAGCTTTTGGTAAGTACTTTGGTAGCGTTTATACCATATCCCAGCCAGATCCACGTTCATCTTCAAGCGTGTCCTCTAATCCGGAACTAGTGAACATACCTAAGCTTACTATCCAAGATGTCTTGTCAGCAAGCAAAGCACTCAAGAACAAAATTACCGCTGGTCCTGATGGCATACCAAGTTTTATCGTGAGAGACTGTTCCCACACACTGTGTGCTCCTTTATGTCAGGTTTTTAACCTGATACTTGAGACGGGTGTTTATCCAGAGCCTTGGAAATATGTCATAGTTTATCCTATTCTCAAAAAAGGTGATCCCTCTGTTGTTGAAAACTACCGGCCTATTTCGATCTTGTGCAACTTTTCTAAAATATTCGAGATTATATTAAATAAATTTATTTTTGCTCAAATTAGAAATAAACTATCTACGCAACAACATGGTTTTTATGCGAAAAGATCATGTATCACTAACTTATGCTCATTGTCTTCGTATGTCTGTGACTCTCTGAACAAGCAAGGTCAAGTTAACGTTATATACACTGACTTCCACAGAGCATTTGACAAGATAGATCATCACTTACTGATTGAAAAAGCATCTCATAAATTTAGTTTCTCTGATTCGCTGATTACAGTGTTGAGGTGCTATTTGGTGAATCGTCGACAGTTTGTTGAGATTGAGGGGTTTAGATCAGTTCCTTTTGTTCCAACTTCTGGCGTCCCTCAAGGTTCTAATCTTGGACCTCTGCTTTTCAATATATTTATAGATGATCTCGTATCTTCGATCATTTGCAACAAGCTTGCCTATGCGGATGACCTAAAGCTATACGAAAGCATTGAAACTGGCATGGACTGCATGACTCTCCAGGACAACATCAATATTGTCAGTCAATGGTGTACTAAAAATAAATTGCATCTTAACATCAGCAAGTGTAATGTGGTTTCTTACCACCGCACAAAAACTCCTATAGTCTTTAATTACAATACGGATGGTACTGTCCTGACTAGACTTGCTACTGTGAAGGATCTGGGGATTTTATTTGACCAGTCGTTCTCTATTGTACCTCACATTACAAAAATGGTTTCCAGTGCAATGCAAATTTTAGGATTCGTAATAAAAAATTGCAGGCATTTTTGTAGCTCAGCTACTGTTAAATTGTTATTTAACTGTTACGTTAGGTCCAAGCTTGACTATGGCTCGCTGATATGGTCACCAATTTATAACTGCCACACTCAGTCCATTGAGAGTGTGCAGAGAAGGTTACTAAAGTATCTAACGTTCAGGGAGGACGGTTCCTATCCTGAGAGGGGAGTTGATCACGATCTTCTACTAAGAAGGTTCTCTATACTGCCCCTGAGCTTGCGCAGAGATTTGCAATCTGTTTCATTTCTCTATAAGTTAGTTCATTACGGAGTCGATTGTCCGTTTCTTCTGGAACAATTACGTTTTCATGTGCCGCGGCTGGAAGGGAGACATCAATCAACTTTCTTACCGCAGTTACCCAGGTCCAATATCCATTTTCAAAACCCTATTTACAATATGTGTGCTACCTTCAACAAACTATCATCGTACTGCGATTTATATTATGATGGTCTCCAGGCCATACTTCAGCAACTTCGAATGGCGTCGGGTTATGCGTACCGATAAGTCTTATCGTTTTCTTTCTCTTTCTCATTCTATCTTTCTTCATTTTTTTTAGTTATAAGATTAGTACATTTAAGATTAGTTTCTACGTCCCCTAGTATATATATATATATATATATATATATATATATATATATATATATATATATATATATATATATATATATATATATATATATATATATATATATATATATATATATATATATATATATATATAATAATAATAATAGCACTTTATTTCCAACAGGTAACATGACCCAATTACAGGAAATATTAAATATAAATCATCTATATATATATATATATATATATATATATATATATATATATATATATATATATATATATATATATATATATATATATATATATATATATATGTATATATATATATATATATATATATATATATATATATATATATATATATATATATATATATATATATATATATATATATAGATGATTTATATTTAATATTTCCTGTAATTGGGTCATGTTACCTGTTGGAAATAAAGTGCTATTATTATTAATATGCGTTAAATTGTATGCTATGTAAAAGACCTGAATGATAATACCAACCATTCAAAATCTTAAAGAGAAAAACTAAATCACTGCAAAATCTTCTGGTTTGAAGAGTATCAATATTGAAGGCCCTGCTTATAATACTGTAGTTGATCTGTATAGAGATTGATATGCGCCTTTGAAGCCAAAGATCTTAAAAATACTTTTTGAACGGCTTCAATGTTATCTATATGGCAGTCATCATATGGAGACTGTACCACAAATGCATACTCCGGTCTAGACCGAACCAAAGAGATATAAAGGAGTATAAAGCAATGTGGAGTAAGTTGACCACCCTTGCGTAAAACAAACCTAAGGACTCACGTAGGCCTGTTAGTTCAGAATCAAAGAAAACACCAAAGTCTTTAATGCTAGTGACAGCCTTGATCTCGACTCTCAATGCTATATTGGTTGTGAACCATACTCAATGAATGACTAAAGCTAATACAACGTTTTTTTACATTAAACACAAGGCTATTAAACTTAGACCACATGCAAACACTGTCCTTGTCCCTCTGAAGCAGCAGATCATCCTTGCTCCATTCAATCCTCCTGAATATCTTCAAATCATCCCCAAACAAAAGACACTGCGATTCCCAAACTGCACTGACAATATCATTTATAAACAAATTAAAAAAGATGGGTTCAGTGTGACAATAAATATCATACCCGAGACATAATTATCAATTCGAATCGACTGAGTATGACCCCACAGGAACACTAGATCCACTGCACCAACCCAGGCCCATAGCTCTAACTTAGAAACAAGATGCTCATAACTCACCTGGTCAAACGAATTCGAGAAATCAGTATAGATAGAATCCACTTGACCAAGCCTATCAAAGACATTCAATAAAAATTGTTTTTAGGCGAGTAAATTTGTTACTACCCTGTATAAATCCATGCAGTTGATCAGCCAGAATTCTCCTGCAATGCCAAGTTTCTCACAAAATAACTTATCGTCCAGTTTAGGAACCACCGACTGTATGCAAATGTCTCTATAATTAGCGACATAGCTCTTATCACCACTCATGAATCTGTACCAAATAGTCAACCTT